AATATGAACTGCATAGCAAAGTATGTAAAAATTAAAGTAATCCTTATACTGTGCCACTGATTATTTTTCCTACCTACTACAGTCATAAACAAAACCTAAATGTAGAATAACCGGTGAATAAAAATTGAGATACGAATTATTTTTCCTCTGAGTCCTCAATAGTGCTTGGTGGATAAATCAATTTCAGGGCCTAGAACGGGAGTGGCCAGCCTGTCACAAGTGGCCTAGGCAACCTCTGTGTATGGCCTGTGGCAGATGAGGGAGAGGACAAACAGCACAGTGCCAGGCAGGGCAGGAAACAAAGCAGAGCACCAAATGGAATAAGGACCATGGGGAAGGAAGCAAAACACAGAGCAAAAGATTGGGAAGGGAATACAGACCAGGAAGCAGAAGGCAAAGCAGCAGCTTGGGCAAGGAAAGGGGATGGGGTATGGCCACACATGCCAAAATTTTGTTTAGAGCCGTGGTTCTCAACCTTTTTTGTACCAGGACCCATTTGTAAACATCAATGGCCAGTCCCGACCCAGAGCCCCTCACTCTTGACCCACTATCCTCTGCCCTCCGCTCCTCTGTGCAGGGTAGAGGACGAGTGTTTGGGGCATAGGGGGCCCCAAGCAGCCCCTCACAAGCTGGAGCTCTGCCAGCCTGCAAGGGAAAAGCCAGTTTCCCACATTTTCCTCCTTTAAAGAAGAATCAATGTTTTAAGTTTGTTCACGACCCTTTCATATATTCTTGCAACCCACAGATTGAGAAACACTGCTCTAGAACACATCTGTCCATCAACAGAACCTAACTTGCACAGGCTATTCAACACAGCAACAGAAAAGATAGTAAAATGACTGTAAAACAATACAAAAGCAAATGCTTAAAGACGGTTGTACTAAACACAACCCTCTCTTTTAAAAAAGGATTATATTTAAGCTTAACAGTGTCCTCCTTAAAGAAAAAAAACACACTCGCCAAGCGAAACCCTTGTTTTCATTTACCTGATTTACGCTGTGGTTCAGTCTCAAGGGCCCCAGAGAGGACTTCCTCTATTTTCTGCACTATCTGATCACTCGGATGACTCCCGGCAGTGCCCGACGCTGTGGCATCAGAAGGGACGGCTGGCTCCGCCGGGCCCGGGGCTGGGGCCGGCTCACCGTTCTGCTGGCCTTCCACCTTTCCGCTACTCGAGAAAACATGAACAAGGGGGCAGGTCATTCACAGCCTCACTTGCCCTGTGTGAAACCACTTCTTTTTCCTTAACGGCTGCTCTTGCCGTTCAACCGGAAGAACCTTCTCACTCCCTGCACCCCACCCCTAACCCG